GTGATGTACGTGAGCTTATTACAGTTGATATAAAGAATTCATGCGGACTAGAAAAACGGCGATATCAGGTCTTGAACAAGTATCCCGTATCTGTTTTACCGTTTAATTATTATGAAGATACGGTTACATTTTTAAGCAAATGAACATACATACATACATTAATCCAAGTAAGATTTAGCGTTAAAGATAAGAAGTGTTTTAAAAGTTTCGAAACTTGCGCTTGTACAGCATCAGTAAACCCGGCAGATAAAAATCTTATGCTCGGAGTTTTTCTCCCCAGAGCTCGAGTTATGTCGAATTCGCTGCCTCATTGGGGTGTATTCCCTAATTCTGTCAAGAAATTTATTGTAAAAATGTTATCGTAATAGTTCAAGTTTTGTCACTAGTCTGAGCTGACCTCGATGACCGTACGGTTGTATCGCTTCTTTCTGTTCATACCAAAACAATTTTATTTGCTGTTGCTACATTATTGATGACCGTATTTTTTGGTTGACAGTATAAAAAATCTCTCTCACTCTCTCTCTCTGTTTTTGATCGCATTAGCGCAAACTGTTTAAATATCACGTCCATCAGAATTTACTAAGGCTCAATTCTACAATATGATTATTTACGATTTCGGTAGCTCTTGGAGATTTATAGTCATAATCAATTTTATTTTTTCCATCCAGTAAAAAATATCATACAAAATTGACAAAAATTAAAATTAAACACATTTTTACTGGGGAAGCTGCGGGGAAGTGAAACTGGTTACCAAGCAGCGACACCCAAGGTTCAATGTCTAATTTAATTTCCAAGAAAGTTTTTAGAACACTTTTGATATAGATGAGTATAGCTTTGTTAGCTGAACCACACATGGCATCCAATAGTCATGAAAGGCATATGAGACGACAAAAAATGCTACATGGCAACATCTCTAATCGAACCTATCAGTGTCAGGGTTTTCTGTAACGAGTGGAATTTTTTCACTTCTGAGCAAAAACACGTGATCTCACTTTGAGCAATATTTTTAATAAGCAGGCTTGATGAAATTCGGTTGATTTCCGTTATAGAAAATTAAAAATAGCAATAAGCTCTACTGGCGCCATCTCGCGGTTTGTTTTAAATCAACCATAAACATCTCGCGTTATTTTAATAACTTTATCGATTTTTTGCAAATTAATTAAATTCACTTATTTTTAATAATCTTCGAAATGTCAACTCATTATAAAATTATTATCGAAGCAGATGCGCAAAATATGGCGCGTATTATGAATTACAATCGAGAAATAAATATGGGGTTACTTGGAGTCAATATTTAGGGGTTATAGAAAGGTCATGATTATTTTTAATCACCCAGTTGTTACAAAACACAATTTTTCGTGTTTATAGATAAAGTAATATGTCGTTACGATTATACAATTATGACGTTACAATAATGTTTACTAAATTAACGCGGGAGATTATTTCGCTGCCCACAAGTGCGCCAAAGGAGTGACATATGGGAAAAACGTTAATTTTTACCTCTTTCAACACCTTTTTACAGAAAAATCAATAATTAGTCATAATTACATTATTTTATACGTTTATCATTAAAATTTCACGTCCAATATTATCCCGCGCATCCGTGAACCAGGCGGCCCCTGTTTGCGCTCCCTGTCCCGTCCCGTACCCCAAAGTGCCAATCACACGTTCCCAATATGGCTATGTGTGTATATGCTGATTGTATATTGTTTGTAATGCACTTTAAAAGCTGGAGATAATGGGAAACACGACTATATACTGAGCTATATATAATTACCCAACACCTGGGCGTTCTCACACTCGTTCTGTGCGCTGGATTTGTAATGTACCATTAGTAAGTACTAAGATTGGGTAATGGAAATAAGACTTGAATAGGTCGCGTCATGATTATTTTTTGTGTGCGCATTTTTTTTTTGAGCGGAGGGAGGAAGGGGGTAATTAAAAAATATATTAAGGTATTTTCGTATTTGTTGCTTGTAACTGTTGATCTGTCCATATCAAATACATTTGAATTAGTAAATTGCCGGATTCATTATAGATGTATGACCAGGGTTATTATCTTATTATTTTTTACCAGTGTGTGGTACGTCATTGTTTTCTGAAAAAAAAATTGAGCGTATTATTTTTGTATCAATCATGAATTCGTCCAGAGACGAAAGGAGATAAGAGTGCGCATATAAATTTGCCATTAGTAAGATTTATTACTTAGTAGATACTGATATTCATTAGCGGGTGTAGGATTTGAACACCGCCGTGTTATTTGTGTGTATGTGAGATTTAAAATAAATCAAGCTTATTATTTTAATATTTTCCTCCAAGAGACGAAGCCGATATGATTCCCTCAGTCGCTGATCTCGTAGGATATCAGATACTCGACATTAGTAACTGGCGTGTTCCAATGGCCGGCTGCGCAAGCCGATATGCTTCTATAACAATGTTCTAAGCAATGTTGAATCAGAAAGTTTTCATATTTCCATAGGCGTATTGAAGGGCCATTTCCTGAAATCTCCCGATTTTTTTTAAATGTAATTTTTCGGCATTTACAGTGAGGCATGAACTCTTACGCCTATTCCAACACCATTTTACTCTATTCTTGAACGATTTACTGAAAACTGATCTTTCCATGCTATCAATAATGCTTCCACCAAGTAAACCAATCGTGATAGAAAAAAACTCGCGCTTGTATTTTGAATAAATTCGACAGCTAAGTAAGTTTGCAAAGAGATTCTTTAAGATATTGTTAGATATTAGTGACTAGTTTATCTGTCTTTGTTCGTATTAAAAGACACGAGTATCCGTCGTATTGCGTCATTATACGAAAACTATGGCTCATGGCCTCCTTCAAGTGAAAACACATTGAGAAATAACCTCATCAAACAATGAGACTAGGAAGAACGAGGAATTTTCTTGTGAAGTGAAATCAGATTTGCGGCTAGCATTGTGGCCCCCACTAACTGCTCTGTGGCCCACTTAGTGCGCCACGGGCCCCCGGTTGAGAACCGCTGGTATAAATCTCGCTACTCGTTGAAATAAACGTATTTTTGCAAAGTTTCGTCTGACCAAGGTCAGGCTTCTTCAGACAAGTGTATTTTAGAGTTTGTAAAATACAGCATTATATTTGTGTAAGTCTGTTAAAATAAGTGGAATTACCTGGCTACCACATATGTTCTCAAAGTGCTCTGTACGGAGCTCCAGGGGTCCATGACAGAAACCCAGGGACTCCGCTAGCTATTCGTATGGTACTCCCATATTGTGTGTACCAGGTTAGGATTAGGCCATAATTTTATTCCGATTTCCCTTATTTAGTTATAGTACGAGTTCGGGGACTGCCTGTGTTAACCAAGTGATTCTACCCTCTACCCATAGGTTTCAGTTCCTTCACACAACTTGATGTAAAGTAGCTGAACAAAATTAGTTACCTTAATATTGGTGCACACACTTCTGGAAAGCCCGTTTAATTAGGTAACTTTCCAAAGAAGCAATGATGGCATTAATATAATTTAACAACGGTAGTGTCGAAATGTGGCAACAAAGCGGTAATTTAAATACGACATAATCTGCGTTCCAATAGATAACTCCATATTTTATTTACCGCCTCGTTGCCACAATTAAATACAAAGCAGCAAATACATCCAAGTCATTGAAATCTAGTATACTCAGGAACATTTATTGCCCAGTAAAAATGTTTTTTTTTTTTTGGTTTTGTTTTTATAAATTTATTATTGGGGTTTTTTACCACCAAAAACCGGGCAATGCCTGATCTATAGTACCCGTGGGTGGTTTTTGGGTCTTTACTTCTCAAAGTTTTTTGCTTCGTTCTTCTCTCCATCAATTTTGAAGCCCAACCCCACACCCCCCAAGAATATGAATGAAATTTCTACGCCTATTGGTCGCTCAATTTTTAATAGACCATTTGCCTGTGATAAGTGGGGGTCACAGTATCGCCATACACCGTCAAAGCTATGGGAACGAAATCAAAAAGCTCGCAAGGTATTTGAATATAAATATAACTATAACTATAGACAGAGATGCGCGCACACGTTGTCTAATCCGGGAGTTGTTAAACGGAATTCATGTAACCACCTGTCTTGCATACTATTCGTCATCGAGTTCATGCAACTAAAACAAATAACTGGCTAACTAATTCCATACCCGACGTGAACTGGTAAACGGACGTAGGGCGTACCCTGGAGGCGGTTTTGCTGACCCTCTTTTGAAATGTAAAAAAAAAGCATTTTCCTGTATCATACATATCAATTGTTTGTAACTTGAAACGCTTCTTAGACGCCAAGTCTCCAATACCCCACATTTTACGCGAGGACACTCCAACTGTTATAGTCTAACTTGGCAATTAGAAATTTCAAAACATCTTCCTTTGAAAATTTGTGCTACGACCCAGACCGGACGAGAGGCTGCGGTTTGCTATGCGATTGAACCGTCTTATCATGCTATTTTATCCCGGATTCAATTTTTATTCAAATCGCTTGGCCAAAAGCTAAAAGTATGAATTCTAATTCGAAAATTTTACCTGAAGTTAAAAAAAAGCTCAAAATATTTTTGTGAAACATTTCTTTCAAATTCTTAGGTCCAATTTTCATCAAATGTTCTACAGCTTTGCTCAGAACAGGCTCCTCACAAGAAACAAGCAAAAGCCACTGTATTTCAAATTAACCGAAATATTTTCGTTCGGCATTGTCAAGCTAGTATCAATAAGACCTTTTTGCAATTATTTTTTACATTTGCATAGAAATTCAATAGACATAATCAACAAAATGTCCTCTGCAGCTCTTAATGACGCCACAACCTTCCCACGTCATAAAATAATGACGTCACAACCGGAACAGACGCAACCTTTATGTCTGTCAATCAAAAGCGAATACAATTCGGACAGTACCTCGGACTCCGGTAGGTTTTCACATGTTTCGCGGGATGCGGACATTCTTATTCCGGCAAATATGCAAAAAGATTATCGGGCGACCAATGACAAAACGAATATTAAAATGAAGGAAATCATTCCGTCACGAGAAATCAAACCTGAGAAAACAAATGTTTTGTTTCCTAAGACAGTCAACTCTGCCGCATCTGACATCGGGAAATTCACTTCAAACATACCCAACTTAGAAGGTTAGTCCGATATTTTTATAAAAGGTTTTCACACTTTTGCCTCGAACAAGGCGATGATTTGGCAATCAGGCAGTGGTACCCAATTTGTTACTCCGGAAGTATGTCTACCAGGTTAGGCCATAAGTTTATTCTGATTTTCCTTATTTCAGTTCTATTACGGGTTCGAGGACTGTCTGTGGTAACCAAGTAAATATACCCACTGACCATAGGTTTACACAACTTGTAAAATAGGCGAACAAAATTAGTTACCTACATAATGGTACACATACTTCTGGAGCGCCCCCAATTTAATACTCTCTGGATAAGGTGGGGCAAGGGAGTGTCAAACTTCCCTGCTGCCCGGGGCGAGTTTTTGATGACCATGCTCCCCATACCTAAATTCAACAATAATTCGGGGAATTACCAAATTCTACATGTTGTTATACATGAGAATGAATCAATCAAAGGTCAAGTAAGAGTGAAATGTTTGTGTTATTAATATTCAAATCATGAAACTAAGCAATTTATGCAATTTCGAAATTAATTTGTGAGTTAAACAAATTATAGAGGTTATTATACATGAGAATGAATAAATTAAGATAAGAGTGAAATGTTTGTAATATCAATATCAAACTTGCCAACAAACTTAATCTCTATAAAGTGCTGCCCAGGTGTTGCCTGTTTCCTATGGTCCTCCCTATACAAGCAGCTAGAGACACCTATGCAGCAACTATTTTGATAAGAACAGAATCTTTCCATTTATTTCATCATACCCTGTGACGGTACGAATTTGAACTCAATGATAATAATTTTTTTTTTTTTAAAGACGAAATTTTTCCTGTTCGCCGTTGATTTTAACATAAATGACGCGAAGTTTAGAAAGATTTTGGTTCTCGCCGTGGTTGTGAAAAAACGATTTCCACCACTAATGTTTTTATTACATTATTATTAGGCCGCTAGAAAGCTAGCACATTTTTTCAACTTTTTGAGTCCCAAGGGCCCGAAATTCCACTCAAAATTTTGTTTTTATTTTGAATAAAGGGAACACTTTTCTATGACATCTTGCATCCGTTTCAAAATTGCCTTCATGTTTTTCCAGGGGAACAGAATCCAACAAGATCAGAAATTATAGACATGAGAGACACATTACGTCAATGGAATGAACTACGTCATAAATTTCGTGACGTCACCCAGCCAATTCAAATATCTGACATGGGAATCGATCCTAACCATAAGTTCTCGACGACATCTCCGAAACACTGTGGCATGGCGTCTGGTTTCACTAATGGCATGGCACCGAGACATTTTGGTGGCATGGCGTCGCCACCCGCAACTGATTTTTGGAGACCTCCAGTGGAAGCACTCTCGCCTCAGAAAGGTATTAACTAGTTATTATAAATCGTTTTTACATCGATCAAGAATCCAACGGTTTTGGCACTGACAACCTAATTCCTCACACCCTGGGATGGTGGCCACGGGAATTTATCCAGAGATCTTTAACTCTCGACCCCATGCGTAGCGTGATGGCTTAGCCCCAGCGCACCGCGTTTTTAATTCGGATTATTTACTCGAAACAGCTCGGAATTTGCCACATTTTCTAAATTTGGAGGTGATTTAATGACGCTTCAGAAGTGTGTGTACCAATATGGAGGTAACTAATTTTGTTCGCCTACTTTACATCAAGTATCAAGCAGAGGTATATTCACTTGGCTAACACAGACAGCCCCCAAACTCGTAATAGAACTAAAATAAGGAAATTCCAAATAAAATTATGTCGTAACCTTAACCTGGTACGCACACCACGGGAATACCGATTTAAACTCCAAATAAAATAAAAAGTCTGATATATATAACACATAAGCAAGCACTGAGAAAAAAACACTTCAAGAACGTTTCAATATTTGAAAATCTTTCAATAAGTGTTTGTGAAGCTGATAAAAATCCAATTGTTCGTTACCGTTGGATTCTTGCTCATTGGCCAAAAGTTACGGAAATAAACAAGAAATTGAATACCCCGGAAAATCAAAGCTTCATTATTTTTATCATTTCCAGATCTTCCATTTTCCGAACCCGGAATCGATATCCATGGCAACCTCCAACACAAATGGCCTCAGGTGCCGCCAAACCAGAATATACAATGGAATGCATTGTTAGGTGAGTACTGTAACTCGCTCGCAACTAGTGGTATTACTAGTAAAATTATGGTCTAACCTTAACCTGGTACACATACTACGTTCCGGTGTCCGCCATCTTGGTTCACGCCTTTCGTGTCCGCATAGAACAGGGCTGTGCAATTATTTTTGCTATCGGTCCACATTGAATATTTAAAATGCAGTGACGGGCCGGACTAAGTAAAGTCAACATACATTGCGCGTATTTATTGTACTGCGGATATAAAAATGTGAGATAAACTACCGGAATATACTTGGTTTGATGCTTTTTTTGCTATACGGCTTATTTAAAATGTCTTGCTTTATTGTTCTCAATTTAACCGCGGCTGCTTTGATAAAATATAAGCATTACTGCTATGGAATACGACCGCAAACCGCGGACATAAACATGTGACGTAGATTGCCAGACCATTTTTATTCGTGCTTTGCCTTTTCGCGAATTCGCCAAATCTGATTCGTTCTTACAAAACCGACTTCGCTCTGTTTTAAAGATCTTACCGCTAGAAAAATCCTTACGGCTTTGATAAAACCACGCCGAGTAAAATTGATTTTAGTAGGCTACCATAAACATCGATTGAATTTAATTCACATTAATTATCTTTTATGTTAGGCCCGGTCGGTGATTTTAGAATTAGATAGATATAATTCATAGTTTTAGAATTAATCAAAAGATACATCGCGCGACCAATCGACTGTCTTTCAATTTCAGTTATAGTATGGTTTCGAGGGCACATGAAATTTTTCAGTTTCTAATTTCTACAACAGCGTTTTTAATCTGTCGCAAGCCTCCTAGATCAGAACATACATTGCTTCCGTTTATTTTTTAGTATGTTATATTGTTGCACTTTAATCTAGATTAGACTGGTAGCAGCTTCGCTCCTTCATTTACCTTCAGCATCTCGTCGCCGATAATTATATAATAACTCGTTTTTTTTCTAGATCTAGAAATCTGGTCGTTGCCGCGGGCCGGATATAGAGCATTGTCTCTCTGGTTTCGAATTAAACGGCGATTTATTTGAATTTTGTCAGTGTTCTTCGAATAATGACCAAATTTTACATTTCAATATTCTATTATAATTAATAAATGAAAATAGTCATGACCTTTCTATGACCCCTAAATATTGACCCCAAGTAACCCCATATTTATTTCTCGATTGTTACTCATAATACGCGCCATATTGTGCGCATCTGTGTTTCGATATTAATAATTTTATAATGAGTTGACATTTCGAAGATTATTAAAAATAAGTGAATTTAATTAATTTGCAAAAAAATCGATAAGTCATTATATGAAAGGACGCGAGACGTTTATGGTTGATGTGAAAAGGAATCGCGAGATGGCGCCAGTGAGTAACCGATCGTCTTTAGTCACAATTTCATAAAAACTCAAGTGACTCGGGTCATCTTAACTGTCAGTGAGACTTACATCAATAATTTAATCGGACTCGGACTTTAGACGCGGATAACCTTTGACCCCGTTGGTTAAATATCGATGTTATCACTAGAAATTGATGAAATCTGTATAGGATTCGTTTTTCACTTCGAACTTTTGCGTGATTACGTTACAAAATTAAAAATAGCGTCCCGTGGTTTCGTAGTCACATCTCAGTGATCTCGTAGTCGCACTACCGGTACTGTAAAAGATTTAATACTACAGTACTTCATTGTGGCCTTTGTGTCTATATATTAGACTTAGAGCATCGCTCTCTTTTACTTTGTCAGTTTCCTAAACCATCTAATTATCTTTGCAGGTAAAATGACTGCTGATCAGTCTTACCTGAGGCTGCCTGCTTACTACTCTGCTCTTGCGTGCGCGCATGCAATCTTGCAACAACGGTACAACAGCATACGAGGAATTGTTCCACCCGGTAGGTGGAGCTATGAGATTATATTGCATGCATATAAGGGGGGATTCAAAAAAAATTTAAATCTGAGTTCGACTCGAAACTACGATTCATTCAAATATCGACACTGGTCTGAAAAAATTTGGACTCTGATATTTTGACTCAAACCCCAACTCAAAACTATGAAAAAATGGGAATTTGCCAGCAAAAACTTTGGCATATGTAAGAAAACCATTTCTAAGTGTAGCGTATTGCTTTTTAAGTTTCCGTCAAGAATTTTGGCTTCTATTATTGAAAGCTGAAAGTTGAAAATATACACAAATATAAAAACTTCCGACTAGGTTCTGCAAATTTTACTGTAAAAGCACTGGCACTGAAATTAGTTAGCTAATTAGTAAAATTTATAAGGTATCTATTCGTTGAAACTCTTCTCCCCGATCTGTCAAACTAGGTGTTAGAACCTTGGGTGTCGCAGCTCGATAACCAGTTTTGGTTCCCCGCGGCTTCCCTTCTCCAGTAATTCAAATATCATTTTTTCTTCATATTTTTGCATGTTTTTTTGTTTTTTACTGGTTGGAAAAAATAGACTTGACTTGACTTGACGACGGTTTTAGAACAAAAAATATTATTAGACTAAAAATCGGATTTTGTGTGCTGCGGAAAACCACTGATCTAATCTGAAAAATATTTATTCAGAGCCGCAGCGAGAGCCCCAGCAATGCGAAGACGGCCTGACATCGTTCATTCGAAACCTTCCTCTGTACCCGACCCCCTCCGTATTAAACCTCAGCGCTGTGTTCCCGCCCACTACGTCACAGCCTCCTGCTTCATTGGATGAACTCAGAGCTCGTATCGCTATGACGTCACAATTAGCTATGACCTCACAATTAGCAATGACATCACAAAACATGGTCCTCAACAACTTTTTGGCGCAAGGAAACAGTAATATTCCCGCGATGACGTCACGCGGTCATGATGTCATAGCTCAACAAATGCACTGTGGGCATTGTGACAAAACATTCAATTCTTCTCACGGTCTTGAGGTAATTATTTAAAATTGCTAGTTCTTTTGTTTTTCGTTCAAATTTATTTTATGATAAAAAAAATACAAATAAAGTTGTGAAGCCCTTGTTGGGTTTTCTTTCTATTTATCATTTTTATAACAAAAAATATACATTTCCGTTTTGAATAAAGCTGCAATCAATGACGGGTATACGCTACTAAAAGACTACAAAATTAGAACCTTCCTTACTATAAAAATTTCAAATTATCATTTCTCCCTTGTTCTCACAGATTCATGTCCGCCGCTCACACCCCGACAGCAGACAAGCAGCCTACAGTTGTGAAATTTGTCACAAGACATTCGGACATGCCACGACACTCGGACAGCATCGGACAACCCACGGCAAGGACAGAGTGAGACAAGCGATCTGTGACTATTTACTTCCAGTTCCGATTTACGTAAAATGAGTTGTGTATCCCGAGTTTTATACGATTCCGGATCATTCGAAAAATAAACTCCGAATAGACGAAATTTTAGACTGGAACTTTAAGTTCTGGCACCAAAACCATGTCCAAATACTTCAAACAACCAATTCATTTATTTTTTCTGTCATATTATTAAGCTTTCCTAAAAAATTATTTCAGTACTCTTTTCATTCAGAGCCTTCATTCTGAACAGCTTTATCAGCGAAGAACGCCACTCGTACATAAAGAGATGCTTTTTTACTTAATAAACATGTTTTTGCCAAATTTTTAAATCTTCTCAGCGTTTTCTTCTCTCCAAATTGACCCAAATTCTAACATTCACAAATCTTTTCTTTACAGGCGTTTGAATGCCATATTTGCCACAAGAACTTTAAGCGTTCCTCTACTCTGTCAACCCATCTCCTCATTCACAGCGATACCCGCCCATTCCCCTGTCCTTACTGCGGAAAGAGATTTCATCAGAAGTCCGATATGAAGAAGCACACCTTCATACATACAGGTAAGAAGGGGATTACCCCCTTTTCTTTAAAAAAATAGAAAAAATCAATAAACTATCACTGTCACGTAGAACGATCAAAAAGTTTTAGAACGACTGATTTTAGATCATCTTTATATGAACCGCAGTTCTCTGGCATGAGACAGCGGATTTCTTGTTGGATATGAATACATCTGATTTTTGAAATTTTTTCAAGAATTTATTCAATAATTTGATTCAGGGTTTTGTGGCGAACTTTCGTGATTCCTTCTAATACACTCTATCCACCCTTGTGACCCTCGGCTCTCCAACAATTAAAAAAATGGTGCTCCTGAAGTATCGCACCAAGATGTCGCATAACCTGAACCCTAACCTGGTACACAGCCTGAATTCAGGTTGTGCGCCATTTTGGTGCGCATACTTCAGGAGGTCCAAAAAAATTAAATGGTTTTATCTTGAGAAACCCACCTCCATTTTTGAACCCCAAGTCACTGGTTGACGACAATATCACATTTTCAGGTGAAAAGCCTCACAAATGCAGGATTTGTAGCAAAGCCTTCAGCCAGAGTTCGAATCTTATCACACACATGCGGAAACACACCGGCTTCAAACCCTTCGCCTGCGGTCTATGCGACAGAGCGTTCCAGAGAAAAGTTGATTTGAGACGTCACAAAGAGGCTCAGCACGGGGTCAAATAAAGGTCAATTGAAAAGTCATTGAAAGATCAAATGCGGTGACATACAGAAAAACATTTACTTTAGTGTCGTCGCGGTGATTTCTGGGAGCTCAAGAAGTATATGCACAAAGATGACGCACATCCTGTACATAATATGTGTACCAGGTTAGTGTCAGGCTGTGCGCAATCTTGTTGCACATATTTCTGGACCGCCGATATCTGTTTATTTTAAGAAAGGAAATGATAATTCTATTTATCAGTAATGTTTTATTTATCCATAAATGAACCCCAGATACTGGAATATGGGTCCTCCCGAAGTATGCGAACCAAGTAGGCGGACATCGGAACGTAACATAGGTAACAGGTTAGGGTTAGGCCATAATTTTTTTCCATTTTTCCTTATTTTAGTCCTATTATCAGTTCGAAGACTAGCCAAGAGCCTCCCGTAGTATTTATACCTAAAATTATGGCTTAACCCTAACCTAGTACACATATTACATTCCGATATCCGCCATCTTGGTTCGCATACTTCGGGAGCCCCGGAATATGTCATAATGAATTTTATATCACGCGTGTGTGACGCTACAGAGTAGAAAAGCGTTATAACAGAGTAGCGTCACGTCGTCTGAATCCAGTCCTGACCAAACCCCTTAGATAGAAATGTATATAAAATGCAAATGTTGTATTTATTTTATTGAAATTTTCTAACTTCGGGAAAAAATCGTTTATTTGACTATTTGATTTTTCAAGCCTTAAACGGTAAATATTTGGGACAAGAATTATCACCTGAATATTTCAAAATTGGGACCTCCCGGAGTATGCGCACCAAAATGGCGCACAACCTGAACTCGGCTCGTGTACCAGGTTACCAAAATTGAATGTGTAGGCCCCTAAACTTAGCCTACCTTGCGTAATGGTAAATCCAGCACTGATTCTGGTATACCTTTTCAATGAGAAATGACGCCTCTAGTATTTTTTTCAATTCATTTTACCCAGGGCATTGTGTAAATTTTAACTTAAAATGTGTCTGCCTTATATTTGCTCGGATCGCTTCAATTCGGTGTTTTTCTTTATTTTTCAAATGACAATCTAGTATTTTTTATTAATTACATCATAATTGAAAGGAGACGACTGTTACGTCACTGTGAAATGCTCCAATAATTATTCGCGAATAATTCAGTTCAAAGCATTCATTTTCTTCAATTGTATTGCCTATGTTACGCAACAAAAGATGATAGAACACTTCACCAATGATGTAACCATGGTGGCAAAACATAAAACTTTTAGATTATGCCAGAGGAGGGGAAACTACCTACCCATTTCATATTGTAGTCAAAGTTTTAAATGTATATTTTCGCCTCATTGGATTAATCATGCAGCGTGGGACATCTAACTCCAGGCTATTAGAAAAATAGAGCCCAACTCCGGGCTGAAACCGGATTTATTAATTGTGACTCCTCCAACTCCCAGATAACCAAATCTCAACCACAAAACATTGATTACTTGGAAAGTTTAGATTTCTATTTCGCTGTATTTTTATGTAAGTTAAGACTCGTTAAATATTTCTTGGGAGGAATTGAGCTGCCACAAAAGTTTTCCTCTCAAAGTACCGACCAAATATTTTTGAAGTTTTAGTCCCGAGATATATATATATAATTCTACCAACCCTTCGCTGTTTTTATTCAATTAATGGAATTGTATTCATTTACTTAGCGTGACAGCATCCGTCACGTTTGTCATTCATTCCTCCAACTCTCTGCTCTCTCTTGTGCAGATTATTTTTAAAAGGGCTGCGAAATAGGAGAATATTTACAATCAATTCCGAGCAGAACAATTTTACGCTCGGACATAATTTTAGTCCCGACTGCAGAAAATTTGAAATTTGACTCTTCCAGGCTGTGTTTTTTCAATATCGACGCAGGCTGAGAATTCCAAAAAATCGTACTCCATGGCGTTATCCCAGATTTTGTTAATTTTCAAAGAACGGTCCCGTAAGATAGCATTTGACCATACATGCTGAGTTGAATTTTCCTCATTCCATTAGGGAGAGGAAAGCCTACAAAACAGCTCATTATTTAATTAATCGCTCTTTTGTCTCACAAGTAGATTATTTTGTTTGTGCCTTCTGTTTATGCTGTTATGTTCCTTGAATAAATCTGAAACAAACCCAGATACTCTTGAGTTGTTCAGAGAAGTATTATGAGAGCAGTTTTAAATGTATATTTTCGCCTTATTGGATTAACCATGCAGCGTGGGACATCTTACTCCGGGCTGAAACCGGATTCATAAATTGTGACTCCTCCAACTCCGAGATAACCAAATCTCAACAACAAGACATTGACGACTTAGATTAGGATTTACATATTTATTCCGGGGATGGGAGAGAGCCGATAAGACGGCTTGATAATGTGGCGAACCACGGTCTCTCGTCTGGTTACTAGTTCATGTCGGGTATGGTTAGTTAATTGTAGTGAGATGTATGTAGGCTACTTGATTAGAGAAGCAGCTGTAACTTAAAAACGAGAATATCGGTCGGAGACCGAAGACTTATCGATCGAAACTGCGGTTTCGATCCATGATTCTATAGTGACACCGCGTGTCCCATTTCTAATTAATTAATAACTCGCTAATTGGTAAGTATACGACATAATTCATCCAAAATCAATAGGCTTCTGGTCAGAGATATGATGAATGCACATGCAAACCTTGGAGCAGATTCAACCACGCCTTCGTGAGATATCGCGTGCATCTAACAGACAGACAGACAAACAGACAAATACCTATCAACATACTTACCGATCTAAAGATCGATAAGTAACAATAGCACTGTGAGCAATAGCAAGACAGCAAGTATTAGATTTGATATATAAATCGTGTCATGTCAATGCAGCTTTCGTGGTGACATACATGCATTTCCTGAAATGAGGCAACCTGTTGTTATGAGCTCGATACAAAAGAGAATCCAGTCGTAAAACTTTTGATCCTGCCACTGGCTTAACTGATCGTTCGGCATCGTGTTTGATAGTATTTCATGGCTGTTTCACACTCCTTAGCTTTTTCAAATCACACGTAGAGATTTATACCAACTCCTACTTTCTGGTAAATTTCAGAAAGTTGTCTTTGTTGCCATTTTTCTTACTTTTATTTTTAACTCTTTCTGATTACCAGATCCGACCCTTCGCGGCTTTGTACCAATTGCGATGAAATGCGGTATTATAATGAATAATAATTCGTGTTTTCTGACTGAATTATCTGTGTTTTCTTGCATTGCAAAATATACTTATTGCCCTTCTGCTCTGTGCTAAACGCCGCATTATACAGCAACAAGTTTTTATTAACTCATTGCAGTTAGTAAAATTGGGTGCACATTCTCACTTTGTGGTCTATATCTATAAATATAGAATAGTTATAACTAGGCTTACCACACGTCCTGGTTTAGCCGCGACAGACCCGGTTTTGACAAGCTGTCCCGGTGTCCCGCCCGGTAGACTTAAATGTCCTGGTCATGCGGAATGATGGTCATAAATATTTTTTAATATAATTCGATACAAAATTGTTTTTATTGTTAATGAAGGCAGTCAATTTATCACTGATTGTCGACTCACTCAACCACTTCACAAGTTAAGTTAGTGAGAGCAAAAACTACTATATTGTTATGTCATTGTCGCGGACAAAAGTGTCCGTGTTTATATATATTTTTATGTTTATAGACTGCTTTGTTGACCCTTATCCAATGCTGTTTTGTCGGATCTAGACTCCACTTACTACACGTGAGAGAAAAACTGTGTCTTCCGCTCTCTTTTCTCGGCCGTCGGGCTGGAGGTCGGTTGTGTTTTTAGTTCTTTAGTGATGTAATCTGTTATGCTGTTTTTAGTATGATATTGAGTTGTCGTACAATAAACAACCAATCCGGAACCCTTGAGTCTTCTGATTCATCTACAACCCCAGTAGCAACCCCTTTTTAATCTGTGACATCATAATTATTAACTTGTTTCGCCAAATAGTGCAGTCGAAGGTAATTTCAAAGAATTTTGTGTGACGGCAGTGGCTTCCAACCTTTCTACCCTGACGGATCGGTAAAATTGAATAAATTGTACTCGCGGACCGGAAAATTGAAATAACATGAACAGAAAATATTAACATATATTTGCTTAATAAAATGCAGTGCTATGCACCCATTATGCGTAAGAAAGGCGCACGTAAAAGTGATGTACATGCCAAATCATATACCAACACAATTAACTCTAGTGAGAATTTTGCTGCTGTTTCGTTTCTAATATAGGATTGCAAACGAGGCTTCAACGAAGTAGCTCTGCAGCGAAGTTCAGTCGATTTCTTTGTTTCGTTTTTTAAAGCTAGTGAGGAAAAATTATTTTCGCATATATAATTACTGTAACTGGTTGAAAATACGGACAACAGTTTGATTGTTCGATCACTTGGCGATGGGTATTCGTTATCAAGAGATATCCAGAATTATGACAGTGATTCTTGTTTGAATCTGGACTGTAAAGTTGAATCACAAATTTTGTCAAGCTTTTTATTTTTCACCGCGTTTATCGGGTTTACCATTTTACACCATTGACGTCTCGAACAAACTGAATTTACATTACAATGCCAAAGTCGTCGATACCTTTACACCAGGCTAAAAAATCCTGGAAAATATCTCAGCGGCCAATGCTTTTGTTGCGCGTCTCGTGACCGCCAGCAGGGTCGCAACAAGTTAAGATAGGATTTACATATAGTTCCTATCTTACTGGCTGTCAAGGCGAATCCCTGGGATATTACACTGCTTTTGACTGTAAACAAAGGAATATGAATAGCCTTTTCTTTGGATAATCAGACTAATCAGGGAAAGCATGCAGAACAGAATTGAACGTGTCGATGTTTAGGTTTCTGAATCTTTCGAGATTTGACGAGCGATTTCGCGATGAATCGGAACCGGAAAGTGTGATTACTCGACCCCACAACGTCGCCGGGCCATTATTACCGCACTTAGCAAACAGGATAGGATTTATATATTTATCCCGGGGGAGAGGAAAGTCAATAAGACGGCTTAATTATATGACGAACCACGGCCTCTTGTGCGGTTACCATTCCATGTCGGTCATGGGATTAGATAGTTATTTATTTTCGGAAGCATGGACTTGATGGTGGAGGAAGCCGGAACCGAGCTACGGTTACGTAAACCACCCGGCGTGAATATAGCGGCGGAAGAGAAATTGCGTAATAAACCAACTAAAATTCGGCTTGGGTAAAGCGATCGAGAGACAGAGAAACAACGGAATTTTTTGCGGACCGGCAGAAAAGCTTTGCGGACCGGCACCGGTCCGCGGACTAGCGGTTCGGAACCATCATGACCATTTGACTATGCGTCCAAGTCCAATTGACCTAATATGTCATGGAGTGTAATTTTTATTATATCGTAGATTAGTGGTCCCCAGCCTATTTTATCAAGAGACCCATGTTTTGTAAAAATGAATTTTCCTAAAATCTCGCGACTCAAGGATATACTCAAATACTAAACGGCAAGTAGTGTTTCTACGAATCTACGGTCACAAAATGTAATTACTACATATATAGGCTATATACAATTACCGGACCTCCTGAAGTATGCGCACCAAGATGGCGAACAACCTGAACTCAGGTTGTGTACCAGGATTGGGTTCGTTCAGGTTGTGCGACATTTTGGTGCGCATACTTCAGGAGTACCCAATTACCATTGAGCAACAAATTTAGTCAGTCAGTAGTTTATTTTTAACCAAAATGAAAATGCACTCACATTGCACATAAACTTGAAAAAGTTGAAAATGACATTTCATGGTGAAAGGTGACGCAAAAAACCAAAGTTGGTTATCGAGCAGCGACACCTGTGATAAGAGTCTAACTTTGATACAAGTTTAATAGAAATAAGACGAACAATATATATATAAATTAATATATCAAATATTGAAGTCCAAAAACCAAATTTGTTACAGAAAAGAGACTCCGGGCACCGTCACCGTTAACCGTCCCGTCACCGTTAAAATAACAATAAATTTACTAACAAATAAAACCAATACCTTTTAGGTTTTTGTTGAAAAAACAAGCGACTCAAGAGGATTTTGAGGCGATTCCTGCTGCAATTTAGTTATATGGTATCGTGGCCGACTGGATGGATCGGCAGTTGGCGCTGCGTAATAAAAGTTAGGATCACTCTTGTCAGCGCACCCCCGATGGATGTTTCATCCGACCCCTCACCCCAGAAAAATTCTCATATACTTGAACATTGCAAAATTTTAGATGCATATTTTGCGGCTGTTTTGAAGAGTTGGCTCTTACAAACTGAGTTACATAATCAAAACTATCATTTTTACCAAAATATACAACCCAGTGCCCCAAAAGGTACTGACAGCTAATTTTAACATAGTTTATCGCAGCTTTTGCGAGACGAATTATTAATTTCTGCAACTAAACTAAAGCTTATTGGAAAACATAATGACAATTAAATTACTTCAATTAGAGCTAATTTTCTGAAACACAACTGAAATCCGACATATAACACAAAAAACGCAAAAATGAAGAAATGTTTGCAAATATGCTTGAATATCTGTCTGAGCGAACGAAGTTCGAATATGTGAGAGAGAGAGAGATTTATTTTCGTCAACCAGAAAAAAAAAAAACACTGAGACAATAGCAACAATCAAAAGAATCGCTGGACTTCTAGTCATCGTAGGGTGGTTTACAACTTACGTAACCGCTGGTCGGTACCGGCTTTTTCCACTATTAAGTCCATGAACCTTAAAAAAGTAAATGGTCAACTAATCCTATACCCGACATGGACTGGTAAACCAGTGCGTGGCCGTGGTACTTCATGTGCCGTAATATCGTATTCCTCTTCTTCGGAATAAATACGAATGGCATGATTAGATTTGTAATGTCTTATTTTATTCATTCATATTTATATCGCATATGTATTGACTTTTACACGATGAAAATAAATATCTGAATCTGACTTTTATAAAGTGTTCATGTGACTGAACAAACAGGCGTTCCCAACCACACGTGGCGCTAAAGGTCCACATTATGCCAGTTTGTAAACAAAGGTTCTAAATATTCTTCCGTCTGTCTGACCGGTCTGAAGAACTCGCTTTTGATTTATTTTTAATCTATGTTCTGGGAAAGTGTAAAGGCGATAAGAATGCTCAAGCAAAAGGCTAATCACAGCCGTTCGCCCGGTTACCATCCCATGTTGCACATTGGGAAATGGGAATAGTTAAGTAGCCTAGTTACAGACTGAAATAGTCGCCTTAAACTCGATATTTGCGACCAATTTTCGTTTCAGAAGTCGCCTTGGACTATCGTATAGATTTCTGTCAATAAACAATGAAAAGGAGAGAATTTGGATTAAATTAGAAAGACCACAACGCTGAAAAGCTTCTCGCTTCCTGCACAAATAAGAGTTTATTAATTAATGTTCTATATTCTCGCATTGCAGTATTGATCGTCCATATTGATTTTGCACTGCCCGTCGCAAGCGTCGCTTTCGGCACTGAAACTCAATTTACCACAATGGCTGAATGGCGAGAGTCGTTAATATCGATTATGCTAACTGCTGTCCAGCTGACGTGCTTTTATCAGTGAAGATTAAAGACAGTGTCACTATCAAACAGTGATTAAGGTACCTAATGGGTCAGGCGTTGATAAGTTCAGAAGACAGGAAAAGTTATTTTTGCTATCATACCCTTATTTAGTTATCAGCCATTTTTTCCTTCAGTAGAAACAAACATCAGAACATCGTCTTGCCTAATGCAGTAATGCAAGACTTGGTTTTTAAATGAGGTACTTCTGTACTTAGAGTCACAGTTATATTACTGTATTAAGTGAGCAGGACCCTTGGCCCACCGTTTTCAGATAGGACAGTTTGAATTATGATTTTGATTTTTAGTCTCCTTTGGGGTTGTTTAAAAATGATAATGACTATACGATGCAAATACATGTCAATTTATATGACATTCGGGCAGATGTAATGTTGTTATGTGGCAGTGATGTGTCGATAGGTTATTGGTATATCTTGCTACTGTTATGAATAAATATCCCTAAACAAATTTATAAATACATGCAGACATGCTACTCCAGCTAACATTTCATTTAATATCTGAATTTAGTGTTCATCTTTAACTCCGTTGGAGATCAGTCTCTTTTAACGCTAAGAGATTGTTCTTTGTGAAAACTTTCTTTAAAAAAATGTTATATTTTTCTGAAAAATTTAAAAATAAACATTCCAAATTTAAAAATATTATTCCAGCGTTGATTAATTGAAGTTATATAATGTCGTCCTCATTTATTGATGATTCTTTGAGAAGAAATCCTTGGGCAAAAGAAACCAGTCATCCATACGATGAGGTGCTAGCTTTATTTCAAAAATCACAAAAGCATGAAATGCTGCCAGAAAATGAGATTATTGCGCAATCCAATGAAACGAAACTTTCTCAAGGAATGGATCTTATCGCTCAAGCGAATGAAGCAAGGCGAAAACTAGGACAGGTTAGTTTTATTAATGTTCTAGAAATATGCCGGCACACGATATTTAGGATGTTATAAACATTTTTGAAGGTTTTGCTCGAGAATTCTCCATTTTTAATCTGTGTAATATGTAGTTTTCAAAATAAAGTATCTATGTAGTTTTTATTGATATAGGTAGGCCTACTGCTGTACTGTATTTCCAAACTTCTGAAAATTGAAATTACGGACTTTTAATAAAGGTTATGAAGGTAATATTGAAATTGCAGTCTGGTTCAGATTTTTGCCGCACAAGACAAAATGTTACAGAAATACTTTTTTGTTAGCATGTGGCAAGACTCTTGAAGTGCATATACTATTTTCTGTGTGTGTGTAAGCTGCGAACCTCTCCTTTACGAGACAGTCTGGGTCTCGTTAAAGGCATAAACCAGCATATTAGCTTTGCACAATAACCTAAAAGAAGGCACAATCTAAAAACACCAACATTGGGTTCCGTTGAAAAAATAATCCAATTTTTCGAAGGGAAAAATTTTTACCGAATCTTTTTTTTAATCTGACACATCCTGCGTCATGGCAGACGCACTTGTTTCAGAGACAAATAGGGATTTATTTAACCAAATGCCGGGACATTTTGGAATTGGAGAACTGCGGCCTATCGGGTATTTGGGTATTTGGTTCAGGCTTGGGAGAAAAATTGACAGTTTATCTAACATTTGTAGAATGTTTCGTTACTTTAATTTTTACTCAACTTTTTTCAGATTCGAGCGAAATGTACATTCCTGAATCTCGAAAATCGAACGAGCGATATTCTACGTTCAGAAGAATTGAAATCCAACCTAATCAAAGTAGAAAAAGTTTTAAATGGATTCGAAACTTGCGTCACAGAAGTCCAGTGGCTGCAGGAAACATTAATGCAAACATACAAAGGGGAATCGATTAAATTAGAACGGAAATATCACGAGAGTTTTCAAGAATTGTTCACAAATTCTGTGAATGTTTTACACCATTTGCAGAATGAGTTGGACACTTTACAATGGCATAAAGACAACTCAGTAGATAACGTTGAACACAGAAATATTTTGAAAACTTTGTCAGACTCTGTCACAAATATTGAAGCAGGAATGAAGACAATAGAAACTATGCATTTGAACTATGCATCATGCATCTGAAACAAACAACAGACTAACTAACCCCATTCCTGACATGACTGTGCTAACCGGATGAGTGGCTGTGATTTGTTATATAATAAAGTGGGTAGGTCTGGTGTAGTTTAGTACCACATGCACATTTAGTTGGCTTGGCTCAACAATTTTCGCACGTCGTAGTGACATAATTTTCGGTTGGAATAGTCATGTTGGGGTAAGGAATAACATATGTAAAAATCGTTATGCTACCCCCACTGAAAGTACTTGTTGTACTAAACTGCACTAAACCGGATTAAGCCACCTTATTGCCTCTCTTTTCTCCCAGTTTGGAACAATATAGAAATATATTAATAAATGCGTGATTTCTTGAATTGTTTAGTCTTACATTATTGTTTGTATTTTTAGAAATATTAGCTTAAAGTTAAAAAATAAAATTTCTCTTAAATCGTGGAATAACTGAGGAAGAAAAATGGCGTTGAAGGATGTAGTGGCAAACCGTAAGTTGTTTTTTATTTTCTTTTTCACGCACTTTTCCCCCCAAAAAAGTTTTAGAGTGGAGTGCACCATTTTATGTTGCTTTTCTACACCATCGATTCTCAAACTGTGTTTCGTGAGCTTCTTAGCAGTTTTTGCAGTACAGAAATTGGTTGCCATGGTGATCTCGACCGTACTTCTACGATTCTGGGTCGTAAATTTGTCTTCCAACTGTCGATAAATAGGCCGAGATGTCCTATCTAAGCAGGCTGACAGACTTCATGGCTGTCTGTCTACATTTCTAGGTCATAAATTTGTCTTCCAACTGGCGATAAATAGGTCGAGATGTCCTGCGATCTAAGGGACTTCATGCCTGTCTGGGAAGCATGGCCTTCTTTCGTTAATCACCCAATAGTCAGTCTAATTACTTATCGACCTCAAATATCTGAACTCGATATCTCACGAAGGTGAGGTTGAATCTGCTACAAATTTTGCATGTACATTCATATCTAGGACCAGAAGCCTATTGATTTTGGATGAATTATGTCGTATAATTAGCGAGTTATTAATTAATTAGTGATGGAACACGCGGTGTGACTATAGAGTCATGCATCGAAACCGCAGTTTCGATCGATAAGTCTCCAACCGGTATTCTTGTTTTTTAATTGTCAAGTTTGCAGCAAACTTCATAAAACAAAAGGTTGAGAACCACTGCTTTATTAGCTCATAATGCCAATTATTCAAATAAAAATATTCTAAATTATCCTCAGAATCAAGATTTTATAATATTAAACACAACTGTCTTTTTGGTGTTGAAATACTCCGCAAAGGTATGTAAAGAGCTAGTTGAAAAAGCAGATTGTATGTAGAGGTATACAGGTTTAGTTATTTTTAAAATGTTGATAATTTTACTTCTCTCTTTTTTAGGCATCATGACTGATGTGATACAGAAAGTGAAATCTCAAGACTGGAAGGTAATATGAGCTTTTAATGACTTTTGTGGGGTGTTTTCATTGGACTGTGAGAACGGTGTTTCTCTACATCAGCAGTTTCCAACTGGGGGGGGGGGGGGGGGGGGGGGGGGGGCCATGGCTCTCCAAGGGTGCCACAGAGCAGTTGGGGGTGGGGGGTGGGGGCACAATACTAGACACAAAACAGATTTTACTTCTCCCTTTACAAGAAACTCATCGCTCTTACTAGTTTATTCCTTGATAAGGTTATTTCACAGAGTGTTTTCATTTTTTTGTGCAATAATTGTTTGAACATAATGGGAGTTGCAATCTACCAATCAAATAACACTATAAATACCACTGTAATGACAAACAGTGGGACCACGAGTGCTAAAAGCCCCCAGAAGAAGGACCATGAGCTATGAAAGGTAGTGAAACCACTGCTCTATGTGGTAGTTGGCCTGAGAATTTTACAATGGCCTAGGGTGTTCATTGAGTATTTCATTTTCATTGAGGAAATTTAGGCTTGAAATTGGGAGTTCAACTTAACAAGCTGATAAATAGACACAATATGGTCATAAACACTTTCACTGTATTGTATATATAAATAATGAAAAACATTTTAGGGTGCTCTAAGATTTTATTGAAGGTTTTGTTGTCAAAGATTTTTTTTGCTGCTGGAAATGGCCATGAGCGAACGGAGGTCAAAAACCACTGATCCGTAATTTATCAGCTGGAGAATACAAAACTAAGACCCCCGCCCGGCCTAAGAACATTTCGTACTAATACTTTTTTACGATACTCAGAAGTTTTATTCTTTGATACTGAAATTTTTGTCAAAGGTTTTATAGGCATAAGATTTCGTTTGGTGCTGAAAATAGGACACAAGGGAATAAAGATTGAGAACTGCTTTATTAGAATGCCCATCTAACCCTACTATCTTCGCCTGTGAAGTTTCTGGTTCACCTCATATCTCAAATATCTGTTTCGTTTTCAGGTTTTAATCCTCGATCGGCTGAGCGTGCGGATTGTTTCTTCCTGTTGCAAGATGACCAGCATTATGTCTGAGGGAATCACTTGTGAGTTAGACTTTTTTATATTTTTGGGAGGATAGGGAGGGAATATGAGTATAGTTACGCTAAAAGCAATTAATCAGGTTTCCCAGGTTTGGTATTTTTCAAGTGGTTGGGGGATTCAGGGCAATCACCAACTGAAACCAATTAATCATTTTTTCCAGATTTAATAATTTTCGAGTTCTTTGTCTATTTCCTGGTTTGGGGGGGGGGGGGGGGGGGAAACCGAGTATGGGCCAACTGATCCTAATTTATCAGATTTTTCCAGGTTATGTATTTTTTAAGGGTGAGAGGTGAAATCCTGGGTGTCGCCAATTAATCAGTTTTCATGTTTGGTTTTTTTCAAATGGGGAAGGTTAGGAATCCTGAGTCTGGCCGAAATGAAACTCAAATGTCCAGCAGCATATACAAAAACTGCAGTAAAGCAAGGCTAATGTTGGCAGACTATTTTTCAATCAAAAATACTCCAAAAGTGAGTTTGGAACCTCTGTATTAAGATTTTATTTATTTTGAAGGCTGTTTTGAGACTAGCTGTATTATCATAAAACAAATGTTTACAAAGGGGGCTTGGTCGCTTGAACTAACGCTCTTTGTTATTTTGTTTGCATTGTAGAACCTATGCACTAAAAATATGCTCTAGAACAGTGTTTCCCAAAATTTTTGGGCCGCGGAACCCTGTTTTAGAATCTTATTTTTGACGGATCCCCATACTATGCCGTATCAATTCCTGTGCCTAACCAACGAGGAAGGGTAATGTTTCATTTACATCACAATAGCACGAACGATATCAATGTGTTGGATGAGAATGCTTTTGACTGGACTGGACTTACGGCGTCGTGAATTTGTAGTTTTGGCGCCTAGTTTCAATTTCAACGTAGAAAAATAGGCTGGACAGTCTCGTGGCAAAACAGAACGAAAAAGTTGAATTTCTCGTCGAATCCGCCACCAGTCTGCGCTTGACTATCGCGTGACGTATGATATCTCGGACTCGGGTAAAATCATCAAAGACTCGGGCCGAATCCGAGTATAAAATTACGAGAGATTCGGCCACGAATCCGAGCACGAGTCCGAATCTTGTCGCACCCCTAGTATCGGTGGAAACTTCATATATTTCAAATTATTTCTATCCCATCTGGAATTATTTGTTTTGTTACAAAGTCATGAGTCCTAAACGTCCCAAAAATAATTGCATTTATAGTTTTGTTTAGTTCAGCCTACTCGAGACAAATTTCCAATGTTTTAAGTTTCAAATATTTCCAATCATCTTATCAATAGTTATTGATTTTTTTTATTGATTATCTCCTGCCTGCAATCTGTTGCTTATGAGTTAATCAATATCCAATCAGTTAAGAGGAAAAAATATTTCAAGTGTAACTGCAGTGATTGCCAAGACCGCAATTTAGATTTTCCACAATTTCGAATACATTTTGAAACAAATTTTGCAAATATGGGATATTGTATTTTTCGCACGTACAATACACGTTTTCAAGAAAAATTACATTTCTAAAATTAGTATTATGCATTGGTGTAAAAATATCGAAAAAAATTACCATATATCCTCGCATTTTCCAATGATTCGGTTTCTGCGAGACTAACTACTTATTCTTCTTCTATGCTTTTGTGCCGGCGGATTCGTATGCATATAATGCAAGGATGCTGTAGCAAGAGTAGAGATGACAATCCTAAGTAATTCAAGAGTCTGTTGAACACAAACACAAATATATTTCTGTAACCTAGTATCAGTCTTCTTGAGTCTTCTTCATAACAATTTTATGTGGGAGAGTTTTTAGACACAAATCATGTCAATTTCGAATGAACAATACACATGAAATTAACTGTTCTCCCCGAAAGAAGGCTTAATTTAGTGTTAAAAAGGTAGCAATCATTTTAAACAACCCATGAACCCAGAGTTGCAGTAGTTTGTGAAATGGCCATACGCTAGGACTCATAGAAGTCATTGGGGGCCCATGGAAGTCTCTTTACAATTTCAAATTTGCCAAAACAATAGATAAATACCCTTGTTATGAAGTCAGTTTTCAATATATCTCAACCAGGTTTGTTATTTTTCAATCAGCAATTGTTTAAGTATTTCTACTTATTTAATAAATCTGCTAGGGCCGAAACAATATATGGTATAGATAAATTCCCTTTACTTTATGGACACCCTATATATTCAATACAGTATGAGATTTTTAGTATATTATGCAGGAAAAGTTAGGGCCAACAGCGACTATTGGTTTGCTGTATTTAAAGTTCCCGGAAGGTTTTTTAGTCATAATGTGAGATTCAATTGCCTAAAAACAATCATTTTGTAAATGTTTCGATGGTAAATTATTTATAATTAATTAAAAATTGGAAATATTGGATATAATTAATTTGAACTGATTCGTTTCAGATGCTCCATGCATTATTGTGTATAAAATTGTCTATTATAGCATTGTAATGTCACAATACTTATGCGTGAATGGAAACAGGAAATGCGAACTCAATTGTTGTGTCATACATGCATAGCATATGTCATAATGCTACTTTAATTATACTGTTAAATCATAGTATAGTTGTAATATGATAGAATATGTTTCAGAAAATTAATTACTCAAAGAATCGATCATGCATGAAATGGCAGCATCTACAGCAGTGGTTCTCAAACTTTTTGAAAAAAATTATGCATAACGGTCCCCTTTCAATTTTTCTAATGACTTGCGGTCCTCTAAAGAAATGAAAGCAAATAACAATGATGTGCAGTATCTTTCAAGCCTGATATCATTCTGGCAAGTAACACATGATTAATTATTATGCTTACTTAGCTTGTGATGACCAAAACCGAATAATCTACAATTTTGAATAAATTCTGAAATTATATTTTCAAATTTTGAATATCAAATACATTCTGGATTGAAACTAAACATTGCATGATTGATTGAAAGTTCACGCATCTGAAACAATAGAGAAAAACTGTTTTCACCATGGAATTGTAATCGAACGAGAGACAGTGGTTTGTCATATGATTGAACCTTATTACCAACTTCCCTTCCCCCAGGATAAAACCTTATGGTTGTAATTTCTGATAATGCTGAAAATTGTCATTTTACTTACGAATTATTAAGTTGATTCATTATTTTCATGGGCTGGTGATCAAGCGAGATAACAGTGTTTTGCCATATGATTGAACCCTCTTACTAGCTTCTCTCCCTCTTGGATAAGTATAGAATTTCTAATAATGTTGGGAATTGCCATTTTTTGTTAAAGTTAATTAATCTTTTTTAGTGGTTGAAGATTTGATGAAGCGCCGTCAACCGCTTCCATCACTAGAGGCAGTATATTTCATTACGCCGACGGAGGAATCGATCATGCGTTTAATCAAAGATTTTGATGATGGGACACCAATGTACAAGGCGGCTCATATCTTCTTTACTGACTGTAAGTTTAGTAGTGCTATAGTGCATATCCTCCATGTGAATTTATATTGAAGAGACATTTTGATCAGTGCTACTCAACTATTTTTAGATTTGTATAAAAACTTCAAAATTACTGGGGTCTGATCTTTTCAGCAAATATATTTCGATAATGATAAAAGCGCACTTCCTCAGTCGGCAAATAATTATAAGATAGCTCTCATTTAATAAAAGGAAACCATCTCATATCCGAGGTAGGTCCAATGATGCAAAAAAAAGAATCGAATTGAACACACGAAAGATCAGGATTCATCCGTGCTTCGTCAGTTGAGTAGCCCTGATATAGATTACGAGTAATGTAAACGATATAGAGTATGATCTCAACTTATAGAAGTGTTGTATTCAACCACTTCCCATAGCAAGGTGCCAATCTTACCTGTTTTAGCATTTTGCTCCCTTTTTCTTTCAGCCTGCCAAGAAGCTTTCTTCAAGAAGATCTGTCAATCAAAGCTTGCAAAACACATCAAAGCAATGAATGAGATCAACATTGCCTTCCTGCCTTATGAGTCGCAGGTAAGGAGAATTCCCAGAACGGCTTCTTAACTTCTGAGCTTTTTAAGAAATATCTCTAAGTTGAAGGAGATTGTTACTCATGCTCTAAACCTCAGATTAAATTTTTTACTCTCGACTCTTATGAAGTTGGGGGTGTGAGTAGACAACTGATACCCCGGATATTGACCCCAAAAGGGATATCTACAAGCATTTACGGATATGTTTAGAGCAGAGGGTGTACCCAGGAATGGGGTACGAGTTGAAACTGCAAAAACTATAAACGAGTTGGAACTGTAAACCGCATTTTTCTGTATCATAGATGAGCACTTTTTTATAGATTGAATCTCTTCTTAGATCGTAAAGACTCGTTTTCTGGGCTCGCAAGCTGATACGTTCTAAATTGGCAATCAGAAATTGTACCCCCCTCCGTTGAAAATTTCTGGTGGGGTTGGGATTTGAACCAGTGACTTAACGATGCCAACTTAAGTCTACTGCTCTAACCATTAGCCCATCTGCCACAGGTTTACACCCTGGATTGTCCGGATTCATTTGAATACACCTTTAGTCCAAACCATCAAGAGAGACGAAACAAAGGTCTGGAGAGAATCGGAGAACAACTGGCAACGTTATGTGCATTGCTCGGAGAATATCCGTCAATCAGATACAGAAGGTAACTTAACCATGACTAAATTTCAGGTACTCCCGTGGTATATGTACCAGGTTAGGCCATAATTTTATTCTGATTTTCCTTATTTTAGTTCTATTACGAGTTCGGTGACTGCCTGTGTTAGCCAAGTGAATATACCCCATGTCCATAGGTTTCAGTTCCTTTGCACAACTCGAGTGTGAAGTAAGCGAACAAAATTAGCTATCTCTATATTGGTACATACAATACACTCCTAGAGTGCCGCATTTCATGCATGACTGAGCATTTTTCTGTCTCAAATAATTCAAATTTTATAGCATATTAAATAAAATAAAACGAAAAGGTTTAGATTGGATATCATCATGCTTCGTAGTATTTGGAAAAGTGACAAATAGCCTTTTATCGACTCCCTCCATCTTTAAGGATTTCAAATAAATTGCTCCATTAGCTGGGGAGAAAGACATATTTTCAAAACTAATAACATCCCGAATAGGACAACAAATTAGCAAACGATTTATGTGCCAACTTTGTGTTCGATTAGTTAAACTGTGAGTTCTCATGAATAATAAAATAATAGTTGCTGTGCAAAATAGACAAGAGAGCTACGCACAAATATATGGACGTGTTAGACCAGAGCGAATCAGTCTTTACCGGTACCTATGACGCTACCGGTACCCTCAAAAAAAAGTTCTGAATTTCCAGTAGCAAGAATTTTGCAGAATCAAAACGTACAGCCAGTCATGACACTGACTAAAATCCGTGTTCCCATGGATAAAAAATAATACAGCAAAATTTTAGACGAAATATCAAATTCCATAGAATTCACGCAAAATTTTGAAATAAATAAAAGTAATAGCCTTCTAGCGAAGAAATTAATCTTTAACCACTGAAAATTTCAAAGCAATTGGTCCAGTATTCGAAGAGAAAAGCGATTTTTTAAAAACGTGTCAAAGAACAAGAACAACAACAACATAATATTGAAACGATCGTTATGGCCACTAAACGTGTCCAAAAATGCAATGGAGTATTCGAACTTTTTAGTTAGTTGCAACCTTTATTGTAAACATTTCAGAGACCAGAGGAATACCTGTGCAATACTTGTAAGGCTGTAGAAAAAACTGGATACACTGTAAATAAAGTGAATGCAGAACTTTGACAGTTATGGTTGATTGGTCATAGTCAGTCATCCATAACTGATGCCATCACTTGATGACAAAATTATCAAGAATTTTTTTTATCTTTCACAGCGAGGACACAAAGTCCCTTCTGCTTGCTCAATTCCTTCAAAGCAAATTGGATTCATTCAAGGTAAGAATATGTGTGAGAATAGTTAACTAGTTGCTTGATCCCAAAGCAGGGACCTATTGGTGGTGGAAACCGTAACCAGCTAATGGTTAAGAGGATGCATCCCTGAATATAGTTACGGCGACCACTAAAAGGCCAAGAGAGACTGAAATTATATAGAACTCTGGTCGTGAATTGCGCATTCAATCAGAATTAATCAGACTCGTCTCTGAGCAGAATAATTGTGCCTACTGTAGTGCCTATAAAGTTATAACGCTCATAACTAACTCCTTTTCACAGGCAGACAACCCAACCATGGGTGAAGGACCGGACAAATCTCGATCTCAGCTCATCGTTGTGGACAGAAGTTTTGACCCTGTGTCGGCATTGGTTCATGAGCTGACTTACCAAGCTATGGTTCATGACCTACTGCCTGTGGAAAACGACGTCTACAAGTAAGGAAATAATTCTTGTGATTCTTATTGTAGGCTGAAATTATTTCTGCAACACATTTTTCATTTGACACTTATGCCACGTCTTTCACGCCAAACAAAGCCCCATACAAGCAGCCACAGGCTTCTAACGTTATGTGAGAGGCTACCTTTATTAGGAAAAACCAGAATTTTCCTGCTTTGGCATCGCCCACCCTATTATATTCCTTGTGGGATTTGAACTGGAGATGTGTTATCACAGTTAAGTCTAACTTCTTAACTACTATGCCATGAACTCACGACCCCAAATATAAATACCATAAAATTCATGTTATTTTTCTATGAATGTTTATGTTCTTATAATTAAAAATTGGCTGATTAGTAATCTCACTTGTCTGAAATCAATAACAGAATATGTCGATTTCAACCCACGTCAACAAGGATGTGCATTCAAGCTTGAAGTGTCGGTGGGGTTAATTCAGTTAGGCCAGGGTTTGGGCTTATATTGTGCTATTCCAACTTTCACTGACGGAATTCATGTTATTTTTGCTTCAATTTTAGATGTGCATTTTACAACTTTCGTATTTTTTGAAATATATGGTTCAAAACACAAGACTGTTGCCATTTTCAAACTTGTCTGAGGAACTGTTCTGTCAAATGCTTTAACCACTAGAACACTACCCATGTCAGCGCTAGATCATTTTGAAAAAAAAGCACGCTTCGGGCAGTGGCAGCTAATACTTTCTCACACAGATAAGCTTCACTTACTTCTAAGTGAGCGAGTGTGACCTCTTTTATAATGTCTTACAACCATCTATTCCCAGATACGAGAACCAACAGCAGGCAGGTGGGGCAGAGAAGCAGGTACTGCTGGACGAGGATGATGACATATGGGTGTCGCTCAGACATGAGCATATCGCTGTCGTTTCAAAGTAAGTGCTATGGTTGACTAGCTTTGCTGTGATGTCACAATATGTGCTGGGGGCTTGTTTGACTATTTCTTGTTGTGATGTCATAATATATCTTCATTCTGGGGAGTATAAATGCGTATTCACTAGAAAAGTGTTATGTTCGACCAGCTATGTTGTGGTGTTATAATATGTGCTTATTTTCAAGAGGGGAGCGCCCACTGAAATGACGTTATGGTTGACTTATTTATTTGTGATGTTGCGATAAGGAGGGAGTAAATGCCGTCCTGCTAGCTAACCAAAACTAAACTAAAGCCCATCGGAAAACATGATGACAATTAAAATACTTCATTAATTAACAACTAATTTTTGGAAATACAACTGAAAAATGCTAAATAACATTGTTTGCAATTATGCTTGAATATCTGTCTGAGCGAACGAAGTGTCTGAGCTGCTGCAAAAATTGCAATTGTTTTGTCATTGTTGACTTTTTGTTGATTGGTCATTGTTGCGATAATAAACAAGGAAATGAATTCTCGGGAAAACATCCATAGGAAGAATAGTTTGTTTAGTCTTCCTGGATCCCAACCCATATTTTATTTGTTCATTTCTTTAACCATGTTGAAATTCTTTCAGGAAAGTGACATCAAAATTGAAGGATTTTGCCAAAGAAAAGCGAATGAAGACCGGAGGAGACAAAACTACGATGACTGACTTGTCGAACATGTTGAAGAAAATGCCGCAATATCAGAAGGAATTGAGCAAGGTCAGTGTTCACGGGATATCTTGTGTTGATTTAATGTGAACCAGGGGCAGGCAACCATGCGGAGGAGGCAAGAGGTTGCCCCCCACCCCCCCAAAAAAATTATGAAAAGTTTTCGGTACTCCTGAAGCATGTGGGCATTTGCCAAACATACGTTGTGTACCAGGTTTAGTGTTAGGCCATAATTTCAGATACAAATACTAAGAGAGTCACTTGTCTAGTCCGCCGAACTCTTAAAAGAGATAGGACAGTGGGTCGAGGATAGGGAGGTCGAAGGAGATCGGCCAGTAATAGAACTAAAGTAAGGAAAATGGAATAAAATTATGGCCTAACCATGACCTGGTACACATACTATGTTCTGGTGTCCGCCATCTTGGTTCACATACTTCGGGAGCGCCAAGTTTTCTGCCCTTGTCAACGTATGTATGGCAAATGCCCATAACCATATTCAAAGCTACTCCCAGAGCACACCAAGAGAACTGACCACTAAACTATGGTTATGGTCGTCACAGTTGGTTGGTCATGATTAGTCACCTGTGACTGATGACATCATGCTCAGTCATCTAGAACAGTAGTTTCTTAAAACTCTTCTATAAGTACTCATTCTAGTACTCAGGCTCAGCACTTTGCTTTTAGAAAAATTTATTAAAAATTTATTCTTCTATCAGAACGTTTTCCACTTTTATTTGACGACGAAATTGTTTTTTTGTAAAATTAATCAAAAAATATTCAACTTTATTTTCAGTATTCGACTCATCTTCACCTGGCAGAGGATTGCATGAAAGAATATTCGGACAAAGTCGACAAATTGTGCAAAGTAGAACAAGATCTGGCGATGGGAGTCGACGTGGACGGGAACAAAATACGGGAACCGATGAAAAATGTTGTCCCGATACTTCTGGACCAGAATGTCACAGCTAGCGATAAAATCAGAATCATTTTGCTGTATATCCTGCTCAAAGGAGGTGAGTCTGGGGTGGTTCTCCCTAATCCCCTAGTCGAGTAAATTAATAGTAATCAGGGCCTTAAGTTGAGTCATTCTTGTTACTGTTCTGCTTTATTCATTTCAAGCACTGCATTCTTTCACTTTCGTTTTGCTTCATTTATCATGTTCGCTCAGGCGTGAATAATTTTCTATTGTGGTTGTTTTCTGTTTTTATTGTTTGGGCAGCATGCTCATTATTAGTGTGTGGTTTTGTTAATCTGTATTAATCGATGTATTGACTTTGAACTGAGTTGTATTGTCAAATTTACAAGTCTCACTGATGATTAGTTGACTAATAGTTGACTCAACCCCAAATAGTCGGGTTCGTGATGACTGCAAGGGGTCCGCTAAGATATGAAAAGGGTCTGATCGATCTTTATTGATTGAAGATTCATAAATAGGGGTCGTGGCCCGAAAAGTTTGGGAAATTATGGTTTAAGCCAATCCCTTCATGTCAGTGGTTCCAAACTTTTTACTGATTTCAAACCACCTTAGTGTTTTTCGCGTACCACAGACAAAACCCACTTTTGAGTTGGGAACAATGTCACAATAAACAATGTCACAATAAACACACTATGGGAATATTTCATAACATGGCACTTCGTCTTTTTTTAGACTTTTGTGCAAAGTTTTTGCAAATTAATTATAAGGAGTAACAATGTATTAATTGTGATCGCAATCAAGAAAGATCGCAATTTGCAACGCAAATGCAATGTTGACGTAGCACGTAACATTATGTATGTTTTCAGGTATCCCAGAAGAAAATTTGAAGAAGTTGATTCATCATGCAGGAGTCAATGAGCAGGATGAAGAAATCATTCGCAACATGCAATACCTGCCTGTCTCCATCATTAATAATGAGGTTAGTATTTGTTTTGAGGTTTCAAATGCTGGCGTTGGGTAGAGCTGGGCATTTTTGAACGAGGAAGAATTTCAGAATCAAATTTCATTATTTTTTTAAATAGAATCTCGAATACTTGGGAGATAGGGAATTGTATGTGACTTTTTATTATAATGGTCCTCCATATACATAACGACACCTCAAAACCAAACAGTGCTAAGTCCACTTTTCCAAAAAATGACATTTTTCAATTGCTGATTTTCCTGGACTTAGCTCTACATTTTGGTCTGTTTGCCTTATCTCTAGGTGCTCTAGATCTCAAGACAGCTATGGACATAACCCTGCTTTTTTAGGGCATTTGAGAACTAAACAGAGCTGTGTCTACTATAGTGGACTTAGCTCTGGATAACAACTGCATTGTAAGTTGGGGCTAAGTCCGTTTTTTGGACATAGCTCCTCTCAAAAAATATAATACAAAGCGCTAAGTCCATACCAGCCTCTATAATAACATAATAAAGGGGTCCTAAGTCCAATAAAATTGTTTCTGGTCCAGAAAATTGAGAGCCAAAAAGGGTTAGGTTCAAAAAAAAAAAAACCAAAAAAAATTGGGGCGGAGCACAAATTTTTTTATACCATCTAAATATGGCCTTCATTGTAACTTTGGTGGACCATAAAAACTAGACATCCTCGATGTAGGGTATTAGAGAAATAAAAAAAAGAAACAAAAAAAAACGTTTTTTGCGTTTTTCTCAAAACTAGAAAAATGGACTTAGCCCAATTTGGATTTCATGCGTCGATAAGTGTACACAAAAAATAAGACACATTCAATAAATCACTAAGGAGAAAGAGCCATAGTCAGAATTGCATTTTAAAGATATGGCTCCAATAAAAAAATTGAGGGACTTGCCTCAGCCTCTGGCAGACAAATTAAATGAAGGGTGTTGACGGTTTGAAGTTTTATTCAAAATGCCCTAGAATTGGGTTCAAACCAGAGTCGTGGAACCATGTTTCCACAGAATGGAAGTCAAAATTTGTCAGGAAAGGGAATTTTAGGCTCCAAAGCTTGTTTCATTGGCTGCATGTACAGCGCCAGTACTTTGATGCGACTTCTAAAATAGTTTTCCACAACATTTTTTTGAAAATTTCCATCAAATACAGGGTCGCAAGAAAGCACCAACTAAAATAAGTCGTCGTGAGCATGAGGCAACATACCAGCTCTCTAGATGGACACCGATCATCAAAGATGTCATGGAACAAGCTATCGAGGACAAGTTGGATTTGAAAGTCTTTCCTTTCCTATCTGGGAGAAGCAGTGGACCGAGTAACGTTACTGGCGTCAGAAGGTTAGAATCGAAATATTGATCTTTCTTTTTTGTAATGCACCGCTTACCTTTCACTTTGTACAAAGTCCTAAAGCAGCTTCTGATATTTACTGATATGGCGATTAATACCCTATTTCCATCTTCTCACAGCGAGACCCGAGACATGGATGTGCCATAAACTGATCATTGTCGCTGTGCCATACCTCTTTGTCTCGTGTTTTTTACCGAGTATTAATTTGAATATTTTATGTCTGTTGTATTACTATAGCGCAGCAATCCTGAACTGCAGTTACTTGTTGGGCGTACATATGCGTCTTAGTCCAGTAAGGTCTTCAACGTTCATCCCATCTCTGTCATACTGTTTAACCTGATTCAGACGCCCAATCGAGCCCAATTTTGTATACATTTTTATTAATGTCATACGACCCCCAAAATTTACCCAATATACAATAATTATATACCATTGGAAAGGTATTTTAGAGTACTATACGCTAGATGTCACTGGAGGACCGTAAACTAAAACACCTCTTTCAAGAGGTCTCTCGTAACGTCAAAAAATAACAAAAATATTTACACTCTCTCATTCTATCAGCTGTTGGACGTCTACAGCTATTGTAAAGCTGAAATGTAACTATACAGTTGACTGCACATTGGTTTTCTCTTTCATATGATACTAAACGCTTTTCCATAGCGCGCGTTGTTCAGGCGTTTTGGAAATTTTCCGTTTGAGAAGTCACCACATCGAATCAGGCCAGGCTAAGCTTGATAGATCGATCGGTTGTTTGTTTGTGCTTTATCGCGTTGAAAGCTTTTGTGAGTCATAATAAAACATTTATTATGAATCATAAAAGCTTATAATCGTCAGACAAGGAGAATTTGCGAGATAAAACGCCTAACTTTTTTTCGGTGAGGCAGCTGCGATCAAACGACTCGATATTTTTATAACTTCCTGACGTTGTGAGATGTCCACTCTCCTATGTTATGTAGCATATAAAATGACCTTCAAAATAAGACCTTATCATACTAGCTTTTGTTATTGGTTAGCGCGCAACGCCAAGGTTTATGGAATCATTTTCTTGTTGTGCGACATTTTTATATCGCAGCGGGAAGTACACGCGTGATATGTAAGCGAAATTTTATCACTTCTAAATGTCATATAAGGTTCATTCTCATATCGTTGTGTGGGGAATAAGATTTCCTTTCAAGCAAGACCATAACAAACATTCCAGACCTCATGGTATACACACAGCATTGCAAAACGTCTGAAACATCGCGCATGCGTCAAACCGGGAGGATTAGGTTAACTATTATGCAGATACTGTTACATTTTTTGAGACCAATAAACAATGTTATGTGAATAGATATTTCTGGTTAGGCATTGCCTACACAATTTATCGCATCCTGAGTGAGGTTGGAGATTGGGATCAGAGATGTCTAAATTGCGATACCAATACAGTTCAGTCCAACTGTTTACCCACTGGGCCAAAGGTTGGCATATTACGTTCCGCGGGCCAGATCTGGCCCATTGAAGTGTTTCATCCGGCCCACATGTCTGTTGAAATTACAACTATAGTTTTTATGGATATAAATTTCCGTTGAAAATAATGTAATAATGACCTCGATTGTTACGTTGTATAAACGGCAGGTAGCCTATCTATTGAACTAGTTGGTGTAAATGAACTGTTTTTTGTTCATAGTTTTTCATATTGAGTTCCGAGTCTCCGGCCCAGTAACCAAGCCTATTTTGTCTGTAACTGACTCACTCAGAAAAGTGATTGCCTGCCATCGCGTCGGGCTACACTAGGCAATTGCGTCGCCCATGGCCTATTCGATAGCTCCTTTTTCTCTGCACATACATAACCATGCGCTCATAACATCTGCGAAGTATATTTTAGTATGAAGTTACCCAACCCACATTAAAACATTCGTTTTATATTTTTGTTACATTTTTTTAGCGCTCGCTACCATTGGCACAAGGATAAGGGGCCTTCTGAGTACAAGTCTGGGCCACGCTTGATTGTGTTTGTCATTGGAGGAGTCACCTGCAGTGAGATGCGAACTGCTTATGAGATCACAAATGAATTCAGACCAAAAGGAGAAAAATGGGAAGTTCTGATTGGTCAGTATCTATTTTTGTGCATTGTTACTACATAAGCAAATTAGGAATGTTTTATTAGTTTAGGTCATTGTGATCTTAAGAGCCTCATTGTTGGACGATATATTTTTGCTGTTTGGGAATCTAACGTTGGGTCGATTCTTATTAACATTAATACGACAAAGAAAAGTTTAATAACATACAGTCAATTAATCAATAAATTATGAAAACTAAATCTCCATTTCAAACCCTGTTGGGGAATCTAATGTTTGTCGGGTTGATTCTCGTCTCTGTAGGGTGGTTCATGTAACTGCATGTTGGCCATTGTAGACTTAAATGACTGGCGTGCAGCACTTGCATTTGAAGTATTGCTTAATATTGCGGACTCTGGTTCTGACCCAATTAGGGGGTTTATAGAGCCCCATTGTTGTGACTATAAACTATGACCCACTATAAGGTGGTTCGCTTAACGGCTGGTCGAGTACAACCTCTTACACCATGAATTCCATGCATCACAACTAATCCCCAGGACGAGTTATTTTAGGCAAATGATAGGAATCTTCACTATTCTGCATTGCAGACGCGATTCAATTTTACCTTATAATTGGCGGGCGCTTGGGCTTCGAACCCTAGAATATCTAACAATTTTACCATCACTTTTCTTATTTTTATGAATAATTATTCTAACCAACTGTTTAATTTTTTTTCGTGCAACCTATTTGGGGATTCGGGTACGTTTTGGTATGTATATGTTTGTCTCTTGTGATGTCATCATACCTGTTATTTTGTCACAAACTGAATGTGTTGTCATCATTTTATGTTGTCACAAAATTGTTTGTGACATCACAAATCATTTTCACTACACAACGAATGCTTGTGTTTGTTTGATGTTTGCATGTCTCGCTGGGAACCAATCAAAACTGTTTGATTGTTTTTTTTTAACATCCTCCCCCAACTTTTCAAATCGAAAAACTGAATTGAATGTATGAATTGACGTGTTTTTCTCTCTTACCATTTCATTCGTTTTTAAAATCCTTCATTGCCCGGTTATATATTTTTTCATTTCTCCCCTCTTTTCAACATTAATAATGGAACCTAATATGATATGATTTGGCGTACTTCAATTTCTTTCCAATTCTTTCCTACTTTCAACCTCCCACATCGTCTTTAATTTTTAATCCCCCCCCCCTTTTCATGCTAATCTGACTCAATGTGTATATATTCCTCCTATTTTATTCTTATCCCAACTCCAACACCCCCCCCCCTTCGTTTTTAAAAAAAATCTGCTCTGCAGGGTCCAGTCACATGACCACCCCCACAGATTTTCTTCAGGATGTCAAAATATTGACCAGAGCAGTGAAATATCATCATTTGGACGCTTAGAGAGAGAGAGAGAGAGAGATTAGCGGCACAAGATTATTTTTATCTTTTATTGTTGAATTTCTCAAAATGGGGAGATCGGGTTCAAAAGGACTGTAGTTTGAGAATCAGAATTTTTTATCAGTGCTTTTTTGCTTGCGCTCGAATATTCGATTTGTTTTGGACAACCCTGATTGTGATTCATCTGTATGGCGGCATCTGTACAATTTCTTCTTTATGTTGTCTTATAGTATTTCTTTCAATATTTTGGACGGTCAAGAATCAGATTTTAGATTTTTTTAAAGTCTGGGAATCTGTATCAAAATTTCATCTAGAACACTATACTGTTTGCTCGTAGTCAGAAGTCGAATTCTGATATTTTTTGGTCAATATAGGGAACGCTCGAGAATTAGGTCAATGAATTCTTTACTATTTTTTCTTCTCCAGACGAAATTTTCGGAAATGAAGAAATGTTACCGAATTATATATATGTCGAAAAATTCTTAAATAATTACCGGTAGTTTGTCTTTCTAGTCATTTATTTCATAACAGAATGTAAAAAATCGTAGATTATTATTCAAATTATCTGTAAGTTTTTATGATCTGTATGATAACTTATATTTTGTGTAAATAATACTTCTTAGTCTTTATCACAGGTGGTAACAGGGTACATCTTATAGTTAAGTCTGTCAAGTCTTTATAGTGTGCGTGTAGTATCAAAACTTGTCTCAACTTTGGCATTTCAGTGTTTTCCAATAACTTTATTCAAAGACGAGTCTTCTTCACTTCTGAGTGAGGAAGCGCGAAAAATTATTATTGAAGTCTCAAAGAATGACTAAAAAGACCTTAATTTAATTCCTGAAAAAAGTAGGGAACCGGTCAAACCATAAGTTATCTCAACATTCCTGAATTTCCAAATTTGAACCCCTTAATAATTGGGCTAGCAGTTAAAGCATGGGCTGGCAAACTGCTACCAGTGGGCAAAATACGGCCCACAAACTATTGTTGCGGCCCTCTAATGACCTGATTTTTAATGCATAAAACAAAAATTATACATTTATCATTGTCTCTGCACAGATTTGTGGTAACAAGTGCTGCTGTGTGGCACTTTTTGTGGACCTCCCGAAGTATGCGCACCAAGATGGCGCACATCCTGAACTCAGGTTGTGTACCAGGTTAGGGTTCAGGCTGTGCGACATCTTGGTGCGCATACTTCAGGAGTACCCTTTTTGTAATAAGTAGCATCGGTTGTATGACCACATACACGTCTCATTGTGGCATTTAGAATATATATTCCATATTCGAATATTTTATTCTACACTTCATTCAGAATTGCGAAATAGTTTGTAAATTCATCTCCATGACGACGGCATCTGTACAATTTTCAATGTTCTAAACATTACTGTAGAATGTCTCCAGAGTACAGGCATTTTATTAGTCTTTTAACTGCAGAGAAATGCTATTGTTGTCATAGCAACAACAATAATAGAAACAACTGAGCAGAAAATGACACTTATTTTGTAAATTTGCGGGTTTCAAGACTTATTAAGGGCAAATGTTGGAATTTTCGAAAAAATTTTATTTGGAAATATTACAAACAAAAAGCTGTTTTTTGACCTGGTAGTCACAATGAAAAGTTAAAATTGGAAAATTAATAATATATTTTTTAATCATTTTTTCACTGACTTTTTAAATATTTGTCCTTTTTGGTTAATTCTCTTGAATTGGGCTGGCCGAAGCGTGTATTCTACACCAGGGCTACTCAACTGGTGGTCCACGGTTCATATCCAGATCTTTAGAGTGTTCGATTTCGATCGCACCCGATTCTTTATGTTGAAGGATTGGAATATTTAATTAGCGAATAATCATTAGCCGGTCAGGGAAGTGCGCATTCAGGAATGTTTTCTGGAAAGACCAGACCCAATAATTTTGGATACTGATCTTTGGTAAAAATAGTTGAGTAACCCTGATCTACGCTACCCAGAGGTATAGTAGCTGATTACATATCAGCGTCAACATGTACAGATGAGTCAAAGTGGGAAAAGCATTGTATTAAAAAAGGCCGTCCAGTCAGTGTTTTGTGTTTTATTTACTCCAGATATTATGATTGTGATTAATAAATTTGTGAACTGTGAAGCTGCCTTGTAAACTTTGTTTGGGTTCAGACAATTTTTGCAGACTTGGGTCGATAAAAATAAGAACAGTTACATTTCCTCCTCCCTTACTTCCCCGAGAGGCGGGAAAAATTCGGAACAGAAAATCTTCTTTTCCAGAACAGTTGTAATTTTATTTAGTAGTTATCTGTGAAGTTAGGTCGGACGATTTGGGCTTAAGCCAGTATAAACTGTAAAACATGATTTGCACAGAAGGATGGAATGTGGCAACAGGTTCAGAGCAGAAGACATGAATAAGTCTCGTATATCAAATAATATAGGCTCACTTGGTGGTGTCTTGGGTGATCAAATTTTTTTTTGCTTTGAATAGACAAGAATATTCTTTTCCCGAGAGCAAGTATATTTTTAGAATGACTGAATGAGCATAAGCAGCTGTGTTACATAGGCACAGTCAGGTTTTTTCAATAGAGTTGTAGAGGGGATTACACAAGTATTAAAACAGTTGCTGGAGACACAATTTATGGCATTGTCAGGCGGCCTCAATAAGCTAGAAAACATGTGTTGTTAGTAAAAGTAAAACTCAGTTATTCAAACTCCTGGCATTCTGTGAGCTTGCCTCTCTATGCCAAACATCGTTTGGAGTATTTTGCTAGTGTAGTTCCAAATTCTTCTTAAAAGCTGCTTATTCCCCCCCCCCCCCCCCCATTCGAAGCCAGTCTTGCTTTGTGTGAATTCAAGGCAAGCAGGAAAAAGTGCTCCTTAAGTATGCGCACCAAGATGTTGCACAACCTGAAACCTAACCTAGTACACAATCTGAGTTCAGGTTGTGCGCCATCTTGGTGCGCATACTTCAAGAGGTTCAGGAAAAGTATATAAGTTTGCGAATCTGAATTACACAAACATGCAGGACACCAGTTGTGGGTTCTTGTCAAGCCACTCTTGGAATGTTGTGGTGATTAGCGAATCTGTTATTTTTTAAACGCTAGACGACGCAGCAAAAAAGTGCATCGCGACTGACCAACTAGCGTAGACTTGGGGTTTCAAAAGTGACCTATTAGATTTATGTTAAGCATGTTAATGTAGCTTATGTAGTGACATACATTGATAAATTGATGTTTAAGTTGTTCTCATCATGTATACGTTTTTGTATTGTTATACCGCTATAAGTTCGGCAGTTTTTTTTTTAATGAGAGAACCTGTTGTTATGAGTTCAATACAATAGAGAACCTGTTCCTGTAATGTTGAATCTAGCCACAGCTCGGACTGATGGCAATTGATATAAATATATGAAATGGGTGTAAGTTTGATATAAGTATGCCTCACGGTTTGACAATGTAATACAAATAAGCATGTGACTTGGACCATTGTAAAAGCATGTGCAGTAATCCATTGCATGTGTGTTATGTGTCTTAGTATGTCTGCGTGTCACCAATTGTGTATGTGCCATCAATTGATTCATGAAGAATTTTTGTCTGAATTTTTTATGTGAAAATAAATCATGCTATGTAACTACAAGATTTTATGAAAGATCGAAATTTCCCAACATTTGGCTCGAGGTAACAGATTCTTAATGCTTTTCCAGTAGAGCACCCCCGAGTCATAAACAACAATTTTCTCGACTTAAGGGATATACTAGACCAGTGGTTCCCAAACCGGAGTAACGATTCAATATGGCCCGCTGGATTTGGGTAAAATAGTTGTACATTTTGTGTTTTTACCTTTTGCTTTTACTGCCAATTATTACGTCATTATCACAGTTCAAGCATATTCGTAACAATTTAGTTCAGATCAATTATACCTACTGATACAGATATCGGCCCTTTGCGAGCGCTCCCTCTCCCAGCCCATGAATATCCTTCCGCTTCTAATTTTTGCCTCCGTTCAATTAACCTTTGGAACCACTGTATTGGACAAACATAGGATCAAATCATGCTTGACAGTAAAAATAGAAATACTAAAAAAAGAACAGTTATCTCAGTACTTCAAGAAATCTTCCTGAGGAATTCAAGAAGCCCTGATATGGAGTAGACCAGTGTTTTTCAACCTTTGACCCCAATGAAACATTCCAGAGGAACACCTGTGTAATACTTGTTAGGCTACGAGAGGAATGAATATATGTAAAAGCAGAAGTAAAACTGGAAAAACGAAATAATTTACAAATTGTAGCAAGTTTAATAATAGCGGCAAATCTAATTAATATTTTATTATATTCAACAATATATATAATATAAACCTTCTGATTAGATTGGAAATTGGACTGTACTATAACTGTGTGTAATAAATTGAGTTTGTTATTTTTATTGAATTTTCAACATTCCAGGTTCGACTCATTTATCCAATCCGACTGATCTTTTGAGCGACCTTTTGAACCTGACGGCAACCCCAGAATCTTCAGATTGACAATCAGCCCCACTGAAGCAGGGCGGGTTCTTGCGCAGAAGTTTAAGACGATTATCCTTGTCAAAAAAGAAAAATGTAAGTTCTAACTTCTTAGGAGCCTTGTGCACTGATAACAAGATCAAATCTGTTATTCTATTTCAGTACTTTGGGGGCTTTGACTTCTTTTCATAGATCCCCAGATCTGTTTCTCTCCGATGTCCTTTACAAATGTACAGGGAGTCCTCGTGTTACGAGGTTACGAACGCACTCCATAAAAATATGAAATATATTACTGTACTGTAATATCTAAGCCCTTAAACTGGATCTTTATGATCAAGAAAATCAGTGCTTTGGGCTCATTGGTTTTGTTCATTTACAACGTAAATGACGTGGACAATTGCGATTATGAACGAATAATCACTAAGCTTCAGTCACATGGCGCACATTTTCCATGATACTGTACGCCATTTTGGTTGTTCCGACTTGCACTGAAATTCGGATTACACCGCGTCTCAAGAACAGAACAATGTCGTAAGTCGAGGACTCCCTGTACAAATTTATCCTGGAGGGGGGGTACTATAAAATGGCCCAATCATATGGCAAACCACGGTTTCTTGTCCAGTTACTAGTCCATGTTGGGTTTGGAAATAGATGGCCGGTTATTTGTTCCAGATGCACAAGCTTAATAGTGGAGGAAGCCGTAACCGACCAGCGGTTACATCAACCACCATCCGGTGGCGAGGAATCCAGCAATCCTCTCGCACATAATTTTCCCTACATTGGATTTAAACCTGCGAACCCACGCAGTAAATATTTGGGTTCCAGACTTCCAGAATGACAATCCTTTACAACCCAGAGGCCCTGTAAATTTCAATCGCTTATCTATCTCTGCTCTTATCTCAGCTATGATTTTAATCTTTAGATGTCACCTCTCATAAACCGTCAAATCTAGCATGTTCTTACTGTATTATACCTTATCTCTCTCATCACACTATCCCTTGTTATCTATCAATATCAATCTTTTATGTATTTAGTTTGTGTAAACTCATCTCGAATCTGAATTCAATTTCTATCCAACCTGCTATCATTTTATTCAAACCCAACTAAAATTTGAATTTATCCGTCTGTTATCACATTATCTTATCTATTGCACGTTTTCCTATCAATTTTCACCCAGAAACCCCCAGAGATGGAATTGAATGAAATGAACGGCAACAACTCAAACAACAAACAGTTGGAATTGCCAGACATTGATAAAACGTTATCATCTACGGATGTTTCGTTACAGATTGATTCCGATTCCCAGAAAAGGTGAAAAATTTTTCTCTACTTTGGTTAACGAGACGTGGTTATAGTGTAGTGCAGGGGTTCCCAAACTTTATTGCAAATAAGAATCGGAAAGATGTTCGCGGGCCGGAAGAATGTAGCGCCCAAAAGTGGATTCACTTTCATTTGACATTTTTTTGAAACATGTTTGTTTGACTCATAATGGCGCTTCATGTTGTATTCCTTCAGAACTGGAATAGTTCGTTGGCAAACAAGACAAATCATTAAAGTTTGATACTTTTCAATGGAGAAATACGATTTATGCGTTATTATACGCCATTTATCCAGGAAACGTTAGTTTTCTGAGTCTAGTTTTCGTTTGATTTCTGACATCTTTAAGCTTTCCTATATGGCTGATAACTAAATTACTGTCCTTTGTAATTCTAACACCGGTACCTATAATTGATATACTGGTATAATTGAATTGTTACGATAAACACGTGCTTGAACTCATGACATAAATTAGCGGTATCTAGATCGCAAAAAGGTAGAAATAAAATCTGTTGAACACTATTTCACGTAAGCTTGGCGGGCCATTTTAAATCGTTACGCGGGCCGGATGTGGCCTGCGGTTTGGGAACCCCTGGTGTAGTGGTTCCCAAAGTTGATTGACTGGGGGCCAAAATTAGAAGCGGAAGAATATTCGAGGGCCAGGAATCACCCGTAAGTGGCCAATACCGGTACCGACATGTATAATTAGGATAGGAAGTTGAATTATAACGAATATACACATGCTACACTGTTTTAATGACATAACAATTGGCAGTATCTTGAACACAAAAAGGTAAAAACATAAAGTATAAACTATTCCATTCAAGTTTGGCGTCCATGTTAAATAGTTACGCGGGACGTAATTGGCCTACATGCAGCAGTTTTGGAGTCGCTTTATTAATATTAATAATAATATGGTGTTAGTAAATATCAAAT